TTAAGCAAATGTTTTCAAAAAAAAAAAAACAGCTTTATCTCAAGATTGTTACAACTCCAAATTCACCACAATGCATGTGAAGTTTTGAATATACTTTCATTTGTGTTGGTTTATTTTAGTTTCATGGAAAAGTAAACATAAACAAAAAACTTCAATGACAGAAGAGACAAGGAAATTGGTAGAAAGCTTCGTGTTTACATGTTCATTTATGAAATTTTATGACATTAAAACAGTGTTTGATGCAAAATTAGATAAAATTTAAAAATAATTAAAAGCGCTCATAAACAGAAATTTTCCTCATTTATTCTCATGTAACTATCATTAAAAAATTACTTTTCATTGATTTATAAAGCATCTGCACTAATTTTCATTCTTTTGCATTCTTCGTCTGCTCAAACCAGTTCTCAGACTTTAAATAATAAAATGCTTTCGTTAAACGATAATGTAGTGGTGTAAAATTAATTAACTGAAAATTTCGTGCTTAGAAAAAATTATTTAGTAAATTCAATGAATTTTGGAATTATTAAACACAATTTAGGGAATTATCTAAAATAAAATTGTGTTGATCTACTTTTATTTTTAATGTACAAATAATGAAAAATGTTAAGCGATTGAACATCAAGGCCGTTCGAAAATCAATTTAGACTATTAAATATCATAACATCTACCGCAATGCGTCATGGAATGTTATTTTATCTGTAAATGTTGGAATACATTCTTCCAGATGGTAGAAGAGTCTTATGTAGTAAGAAGTATTCGCATAACAGGTTTGAGATATTTTTACAAACATAACCGTTGTACACTTTCTTTTATTTCTCACATGTGTAACTCTTCATCTTTCTCTCGTTCGAAGAGATTTTCTTCAGGTTTATGTCAGGCAAGTTTTCAACTTTATCTCAGTTTATTTCGAGTCTTCCGATGTAATGCACGGAAATCTAGCAATTCGAGAAAGAAAATTCTTGAGATTATCGAGAGGAATATAAAAACATCGCCTATATTTGATAGTTCAAACACGTTTTGACGCGTCAAACAAACTAGATCAATTTGAATTTTTGCAGAAAAACATTTGAGAAAAGTGATTTGTGAGTTTTTAACAATAAAAAGTGAGAAAAACAAGATTCTTGAGCTTTAAAACATTCTGTGAAAATTTTTAATTTATTTTAATGTTTTCAACTCAGTTCATGAGGTTTCAAGTTTAAAATGAATTTAATCATAAGCAATGCTTTGAAACAGAAAATTTTAAAGAAACGGGAAATGTTTTTGTATGAAAGTTCTATTAAATACGATGTCAATAACGCGATTTTTGACCTAAATAATTTATTTATGAATTTTATATAAATGAAACAATCAATTCAAAAGATATTACTGCGAATGATATTCAAGAGATGAATGTTAAATATTTTAATTAATAATAAAAAATATTCTTTTGTCTTGATTGGTCAGAAACAAGCAGACAACTTTGAAGATCATAACTGGTATACTTTCACTTCTTCAAAATACGAAATAATCGAAAATACTTTTGCAAAAAAATTGCTTTCATATATTTGAAGTATTTTTAATCGCATTCTTTGTGCAATTATGAATTCTCCGGTCGAGATGAAAGTTTATTATAAAAACTTGTTGCGCATGTTTCATTAATGACTTGAATGTTTATGTTGTGGTCAAATACGGTTGCTGGTGAATGAAAGTGATCTTGTTTCTTAAATAAATGTTTCAGCGCGTGTTCTCAACTGATTTAAGAAGAAAAACATTAAATACATTGAAATTGTTTTTTGCTGTACTCGTGTGATTTCTCTTATACCGAGAGATGAATTAAATGGTCTGGTTATAACGTTTTATATTTTTGTAGCAGATAGACGTGAGACTGTGAATGTGCTAAGACAAACTGAAGTAATTGGAAAGACAATTAAATTAAATCATAAAGAAATTACACAGAAATCACGAGGAAAATGTCTCTCAGCCGGCTTTTCACGCTTAGAAAGCTTAAAATCAAGATGAGATGGAATGAAACTAATTTTGTTCGACACATCTCATCAACGTCGGAATCCCGTGATAAATTGGCAACAAAAATGGAAGCGAAAAATGAATGGAATCGAGCATTGAGTGAAGCTGAGAAAATTGTTGGATATCAAACATCTTTCTTAAGTCTTCGATACTTATTAAGCGATGAAATCACAAATTTGGCTCTTCACATGAGAAAGTTAATTGGAAGTGCACATCCACTGGTAGGCACAACAAAGTGAGTATACGCGTAAAACATCCGATTGAGATATTGATAAATGTTTAAAAAACTTTCCGTCTTGTTCTAAAATGGGTCATGCGAAAGTATTCATTTCACTCAAAACTCTCCCGACTTCTTTATGGAAGGTTTGATTATATTTATGAGTGAATTAAAAAAAGTTTTCACCTCAATTTCAAACACAGTTACAGAATAATTCATTAGCAAACATAAAGCGAAGTGTTGACATCATGCCAAAATTAACGCTATTTCTCTTGTTTTTGCTTCACTACTGGTTTCTATTGTGTACATAGAATGCAACACAAGTCATTGACTTTGATAAACGTGTTTTGGATTCCTTTTCGAGACAAATAAAAAATGTGTTGGAGAAAAATTTAAACAATTTTACTACAATTCAGTTATGTATATTTATTGAGATGAATAAAAACAAGTAGTAAATATTTTTTATCAAATATTTTGACCTTCTGACCTAGTTAAATGAATAAGATTATGCAGAAGAAAATTTATAAACAAATATCTCAGACGTGAAACTTTAAATATCAATCAATAAAGTTTCACTTTGTTATAAAGACACTTAGAATTCATAATGATATATTTGACATAATATTTCAATAAACGAAGCAATAAAAAACAAGTTGTTAAATAAAATAATAAATGTCGCAATGTGAGTTATGACGCTATGGAAAGTTATTGATTTTTTATCTTCTCTGTCTAAATAAATTGTCCATCACCATCATAATCATCAATTTGGCAAATTTTATAAGTTTCTTCTTCCAAATTATTTTTTAGTATGGTTTTGAGAGCTTTATTCACTAATTTGACAGTCAAGGAATTTGTCAGTAGCTAATATATGAAAGATAAACCTGCAGTTAAAACAAAATCTATCTATGGAAATGATCATCAATTTGTAAACAACGACATCAACATTTTTTATTTCACAGATCTCTTATTTATGGACAACATAATATGCAAACGTGGGGCTTAATAGTGTTGCTTGTGTCAAAGGCAGCCGGTCACGCTAAAAACGTGCCTGAAATGGAACAAGACAAAAGTGCTGGTGTTCTGATATCACAAAGGAAACTTGCCGAAGTTGTCGAAATGATAAGAACAGCAAATATCATTCATCAAGGAGTCTTCAACTTACAAAATATTAAAGATTCTGGGAATAATTTGTCATCAGATTCTGACATGATTTTCGGGAATAAAATTGCTTTATTGGGTGGCGATTACCTCTTAGGAAGTGCATGCGCTCAAATTGGGAGATTAAAGTGAGTTTTTATAATTAATTCTTATAAATATTCAAATTAACTTTAAAATATAAA